AGAGAAAAAGAAGGTGTTTTCAATAGAAATTATTCTAAGAATTGCATCAACAGTCAAAAGGTATCTACAAGCCAACTCTTACAGATTCAATTCTCTGACATAAATTTCTATAATCAAGAGGAAAGGAGACAAATAGGTTTCCACTCCCTTTTTAGATAAAGTACTCCATTGTCCTATTGAAAGGAATACAAGAAGGGATATTATCATATGCCCTTTTGCTTATCAGTGTGAGAGGTATTCACTTCTAAAAAGAATCTCACACTTATTTATAGTTGGAGATATGATTTTAAATTTTTTGTACCTGAGGCAATCTGCTAATAGGGTAAGCAAGGTCAGCCTTGAATATCTGTAGAGCTGCATCAACTCCAGCAATTTCTCCTTGCCAAAGAACGTCCTAAAACTTTTGACTTTTAGTATGGAAACAATCTTTAACTTGCTACAATGTATACTAACTACCAAAAAATCATGGTAGTAGCTGAATCTAAAGAAAAATGGCACTAAATTATAGGACGAAGCTTTTCTCTTATTAACAGCTTCTTGTCAACAAGAAGGAAGCAAATGAATGGTTCCTGAAATACCTGGGGGCTTTGTTCTGGCATGAACATGCATAAACCACAGTCATGGCCTAGAACTGCAACACCGCCAGGTTGTTGGCATCCGGTGATGTATGAATAGTCAGCATCCTGCCTAAAATTGTATGGTACAACGTCAGTCATCATTTTTATGGGAGCGGCTGCAACAATCGCTAAACTATTCTCCGGAAGAAACTCCAATAGTTTCTTCCTTCTCTGCATATATTCTTCACTGGTAATGCCAGGAGTAATCTCCCCTTCCTTCATTAACTGCATGCAGTGATATAACAACATTTAACAGAAATCCACAAAGGAGCCCCAAAGGACAGCGGGGTATGTCCCATACAAGGAAAACAACCCCCAGGAAAACAAGATTTTAAATTTACTGCACATTTATCATTAATTTCAACAGCCTTAATTCCATTTTAGCAAATGTCAGTACTACATATGCAGTGTAGAAGTACCTGAGGGTGAGTGGCAGCAGTCGGCTGCCCAGCATTGTAAACTTTCTTGGTTGAATATGCACTGGTTTTGACTACCTATCGCATTCAATTCATGACATATCAGCAGCAAACCAAAACAAATTGAATTAGAAAATAAATCTAAACCTCACAAACCAACTCTTAAACAAAAAGATTATAGCTTGACCTAAGAATGGGGAGAAAATTCCACTGTTTCACCACTTGGCCGAAAAAATTGCAAACAGGGAAAATAAACGATTTGAATATCTGAATTGCAGCCATATAATTAATTAATCCAGTATCCTCTAACAGTCTAACTATAAGCTATAGCTGCAAGTCCTACTGAATTATACTGGACCACGTGCTCAACCCCATTTAGAAATATAACGAGTTTTTGCTGTGAACCTCAAGATATATGAAATATCCCAATATATGTTAGTTGTTACACAACTAAGATATCCGAAAAGCCAAACAAAAATTGAAAAGGTTGCTATACCTTGGAAGAGGAAAAGAAAAGAAAACGAACTTGATTAAGGAATCTGGGGGAGATTCTGTGAAGTGATGGGTTTCTTCGGAAAACCTGCATGCTGCTGTTGCTTGCTTCCCGCCTTTAGCCTTAGGTTCGTTTTCACTTTGGGATGGTTGTAGGTTTGTAATAACTATGGTAATCGGTACAACCAAACTGAACTGGGGTTCTTCTGGGTTTCTTGAGTTTTCTCCTTTTGAGGTTTAAGGTCCCTATGAATTCTTATATTTGCAGTAGGCACCCATTTACCCATATATTATCTATGTCGTCCAATTATATTTTCTATTTCAAATTTTGCACCCTTCTTTTTTGGTGAAACAGCAAAAAGTTCCCACTTTTACCTTTATCTCTATTCTTTTGCCCCTTTTTCTTTTTTTTTTTTTTTGTGGGGGAGGGGGAGGTGAAAGTGTTTCTTCTAGAGCTGTCAATATGGGCGGGGCCGAGCTAGCCCAGCCCAGCTCACGTGGGTTTTAGCAATTGATGGGCTGAGCTGGACTGGGCTAGGCCACCATTTTGATGGGCTTTATAATGGTCAGCCTACCCCAGCCCTATGTGGGCTGCGGGCCCCCACAGGCCAACCCATCATTTTTTAAAACATAATTTTATATTTTTTCTTTAAGTTCTAACCTAAAAAAAGATAAATATTTAAAAGTTAAAAAAAAATTATTGGAAAAATTTCACAAAACTTAATAACTTTTTATACTATTCCAATATATCACAATAAACACTAAAAAAGTAAAAGACAAAACTATATTTCATCACTAAAAGTCAAAACTCAAAACAAACTATTCAAGAGAACGTCCATGTCACTTATGTGATATCCAACACATCATCTTCATCAAACACATTTGAATACGCTTGTGAGAAGATTGTCTTAACATCTTCACATTCATCTACATTTACAATTCATATGCAATATTAATTAGTTAAATATTAAGAATAATTAAAAAAGGTTTATCTTTTAATATGATGAGCTTAATAAACTTTAAGCTTGGAATACTCTTCTTGTTATTTTTTGTGTCATATACTTTTTATATTTTATATATTTTAAATATCTATTTTTATTAGGCCCACGGGCCGGCCCAGCTCAGCCTCAGTTAAGCCTCACGCGTTACGAAATTTACTTGGGCCGGATTTAAAAGCCTCATTTTTAAATGGGCTCCTAAAATTCTAGTCCAACCCTACTAAATTACGGGTTGGGCTAGGCTGGCCCAACGGGCCAAGCCCATATTTATGGCTCTAGTTTCTTCTAGCGATACACACAAGTTCCCTTCTTCTTTTTCGGTGAAGGTAGATTTATAATCAAGTGTATTTTCATATGAATATTGCTTCTTAATTTTGGTATTTTTCACTTCAGAAATTATTACTGTTTATTTTCTCATTGGAACAGAGAGAAGGAAAAGAATTTTCATACATTTTTTAAACGGTTAAGGGTCTGAATTGTTCCTCTACTATTATAAATGGGTCTAATTTATCCCGCGTTTAAGTTTTCTATCAAAAATATCCCTACAATTATACATTTTGTGCATATTTATCCCTTATACGTTAAAAACACCCTCCCATATTTTAAAATTCACGTGGCATCCCCTTATTGGACCAACTGACCCGCCCATTTTTTAATTCAAACTCGCCTGATCCCTACAACAAAACTACACCCACTCATTTGAATATAGAGAATAATTCAAAACCTTTTTTTTTCATCCGACTAGCTCCTTCTCTCTCTATCTCCTTCATCAAGGGGCCTTTTTTTTATTTGACTATCTTTTTTTCACATAGTGATGTTGTAATATTATTCTCTATATTTTCTAGTGAATGTATTGCTTTGTTGCAAAATTCTAAGTAGAGAGAGAACAATGATTTTCTTTTTATGTGCCCCTTTCTCTAGAATAAATTTAAATAGTGTTTAGATGAAGTATGGTAATTGAAACTAGCATTTACCAAAAGAAGTTGGTGAAATGGTAAACAATAATCAACAAAATGATGCGGATATAAAATTAGATCCCGCAGAGTGAAGAGATGAAATGGGATAAAACAAAAATATTAATTCTAGGAAGAGCAACACTAAAATAATAGGAGTACAAACTTCAACTAAAATCAACTGCATATTGCTTAAAACAGACAAAAATAACTGCAAAGTTCATAGTGAAAATCCACCATACAAACTTCAACTAAAATCAACTGCATATTGCTTAAAACAGACAAAAATAACTGCAAAGTTCATAGTGAAAATCCACCATACAAACTTCAACTAAAATCAACTGCATATTGCTTAAAACAAATAAAGATAACTGCAAAGTTCACTATGGAAATTCACCGCACAAAAACTAAAATCAACTACATATTGTTTAACTTAGAAAACTTGAGAATTCAGTTTGATGGACTGTTGGATGCAAAATTATAACCCCCAAAAACTTACAGACCCTTGGTCAGTTGAAGGAGATAGAGAGAGAAAGATATAGTCAGATAAAAAAAAGGTTTCTTAACGGATGGGTGGGTGTAGTTTTGTTGTTGGGGTCGTGCGGGTTTGAATTTAAAAAATGGGGCGGGTCAGTTAGTCCAATAAGGGGATGTCACGTGAATTTTATAAGCTGGGAGAGTATTTTTAACGTGTAAGGGATAAATATACATCTAATGTATAACGGTAGGGATATTTTTGTTAGAAAACTTAAACGGAGGATAAATAAGGCTCATTTATGATAGTAGACGGGTAAATCAGACCCTTAACCGTCTTTTAAAATTCTGAAAATGCATACGAGTCATCTACGATGCTTCTGTAAGCATTTTTTTTAATAACACTTTTTTTTCCCTCTAATTTGATCAAGGATACAAAAAGTCGGAGATGAATAATATGATATTAAGGACAAATGGATAATATAAAGGTTATTATAAACAACTGTATGTCTTTCAGATGCTTCTGTTGTCCTAAACTATAGTGAGATTATCTACCTTGACTTTAAATGAGTCAATTTGGCTAATTTTTGAAAGAAGGAAGGAACACGAAAAATTAATTGTTATACAAATGATATTCAAAGTTTGCAAACTACAATGACGATAGAAAGTTAAAAAGGAAAATGTATTAAAGAGAGTATAAAAACATCATGATCAAAGTTTAAGTGTCAACTCTTGAAAAGCAGAAACTGGAAAATGGTAGTTTACCAAGGGAGCACTATCATATGAATAATTCAAATTGATTTCGCTTACCTGAAAAAGGGGGCCTTGCGTAATTGATAAAATTGTTGTCATGTGACCAGGAGGTCACGAGTTCGAACTGTGGAAACAACCTCTTGCAGAAATGCAGGATAAGACTGCGTACGATAAACCCTTGTGGTCTGACCTTTCCTGGACCCCGTGCATAGCGGGAGCTTAGTGCACCGGACTACCCTTTTTTTCGCTTACATGAGTTTTGAAAAATTAAACGAATTGACTTCAGAAAACAAAAGATGCAAAGAACAAAATCGCACACCTTTGACAACAAGGGTTCTGATTAATAGTATACAGAAGTTGTAACATAGGGTACAAGCTAGCATAATCCCAAATCTCTTGCAGCAAAAGCTGGTGTGCATCAAGGCTCTATTGATCAATGACACGAAGCCCGAGTTATGTTAGATAAAATGGTAAATAACTTACAGGAAACGTTTGAGGAAATCTTTTATCTGGTCTATATACGGAGGTCGTGCTGGAATTATATGACCAAAGTCATGTTCAATAACAACGGAGCAGCCATTCTCAAACAAAGAAGCAAGGTATTTACTAGCTTCATTCTCTATCTGCCTATCTTTGCCCTTGTCGCTGCCAAATATATGAAGTGAAGGAACATTGATTGACCCCTGCTGACAATTGTTCATATTGACAGCAAATCCAGAGCACAGGATCGCAAATCTGAATTCCATCTGTCCTTTTAGCTTCTGTTGATGCAGGCAAACTAAAGCGGCCATTGCAGCTCCTTGTGAAAAACCCAATATCCCATCAAATGGGCCTGCTTTAGAATATAAGGCTTTTAAATAAGCAATTGATTTATCGAAACCTTCAGTTTGTTTCTGGTACTGAAGAGGATCAAATGGACTGTCAGCTATCTTCCAATCAGAATCGTTCTCCCCCTTGTGATCAGGTGCAACTAACCATGAAAACTTTTTATTGCAACTCTCCGAAGGTGGATGGTTATTTTCCAGTTCTGATGCAGAATCGCAGTTTTGACGAATTTGATAAATGAAAGGCAATTCATGGGGTGCATCCACAAAAACAAGCTCCGCAATGCTCTTGAGTTTCTTGGCTAAAGATGCAGTTCTACCTTTGAATCCAGAAGCATTCTGGCGAAAACCATGAAGGCAAAGAATTCTCAGTTTTCGCAATGTCCTGGGTCCTGCAGTGTATCTCTACATAATGTCAAAGAGTGCCTTGACACACCAACACCAAGTAGGGGAAAAGAAGTATTTCAAAAGCATATCCCTGAATTAGTTTTCCCAAATATGTTTGTGCTGGCAACAAAGTGTGTGCTATAGTATTTTTCGATTGTCATACCGCATGGCTTAAATCAAAATTGATAGGGTACATATCTATCTACTCTACACTTTCTGGGAAGTCATACAACCTCGCTCAGAAAAAGTTCAAAGGATTCTTTCCTGCACACAGAGGTTTAAGACAAGGAGACCCTCTGTCTCCTTTTTTGTTCATATTAGCAATGGAAGGTCTTAACAATATGGTTAAGACAGCAAGAAGTCAGGGTTGGATCAAAGGTTTTGAGGTAGCCAAAAATGGAAACAATAGTCTGGAGGTTACACATCTCCAGTATGCTGATGACACTTTAATTTTTTGTGATGCAAAAGAGGAGCAACTGAGGTTCTTGAGAATTATCTTGGTACTATTTGAAGGCATTTCAGGACTGCACATCAATTGGAGAAAAGTAGGAAGCCTACCTACAATTTACCTTGGTATGCCCTTGGGAGCAAAGTCTAAATCTAAGCTGATTTGGAATTCTGTTATTGAAAAATGTGAAAAGAAGCTGGCTAGATGGAAATCCCAATATTTGTCTTTGGGTGGTAGACTCACCTTGATCAACTCAGTCTTAGATTCTCTTCCAACATACATGATGTCCCTCTTTCCCATTCCTGCAAGGGTTACTCAGAGACTTGATAGACTTAGAAGATCCTTTCTTTGGCAAGGAAACAAAGAAAAAAGGGTTGTTCATTTGGTTAAGTGGAAATCTCTTACAATTGGCAAAGCTCATGGTGGTTTAGGCATTAGGAACCTGAAGAACCAAAACAAGGCCCTAAAGATGAAATGGTTATGGAGGTACTCACAGGAAATTGAAACCTTATGGAGCAAGGTAATCAAAGCTAAATATGGTGAGGAAGACAAGTGGGTATCAAAGGTCGTTAATACAGTATATGGAGTTAGTTTATGGAAGTCCATTAGGTCACTTTGGCCTGTGATGAAGAGTCATTCTTCCATCAGAGTAAATAATGGCAACAAAACCTCCTTTTGGAAAGATAACTGGTTGGGAGTTGGTTGTTTAAAGGAACTCTTCCCTGATATATATGGTTTGGTTCAACATCAGCATAGAACAATAGCTGAAGTATGGACCCCCCAAGGTTGGGATCTTATATTTAGGAGGATGTTAAATGATTGGGAGGTGGCTAGGTTAACTGAGTTTACAAACAATTGGAAGACTTTAAAGGGTTACAGAGTGGGGTGGATACACTATTGTGGTAGGGACACAACAAAGGTATGTATAAGGTGAGTTCAGCCTATAAGCTCTTAAACCATTCAAATC